ACTTCATTCTACTAATTCCAACCTTCACTTCATTTTATAGCCTATCTCAAGTTATTATTATGGTACCCACAATAGATCAAATATCAATTTACCCTATACAACTTACTTAATCTTCAAGTCTAGGTGAGCCTTGGCCACTCTGGTAGGTTTAGGCCGCAGATAATTATATTACTATAATATTGTATCTGAGTTTCTAGTCTTAGGTATTCTCTGGATATGAGGTTTAAATATAATTTCTTTGTATTTGTAAAGAAACTCAATTGAATTTCAATAAAGTTAGAGGCATGGCCTCACTTTTAAGATTTAAAAAAAAAAAAATCAATACTTATAAGATAGGCTAACTGATTTCACCTATTATTAGTATATAATTTTCCTGGTTCTCTATGAAAATAGATATTAAAAATCTATTAATCAATTAGAACACTATTATTTTTAATAAACCTGTTTGTAATTATATTAGCTATATTCATTGTATTTTAAAACTAATTTTAAATCTTTTCAGTTAATATTCAAAATAAATATTTGCATGTTGCCAGTGATCTCTGAAAATTGTACCTTTTAATTATTTTTGCTATTTTATATATACTGGTATATATATACGTATTAGTTTAGTTATAAGTATTTTATTACTTATATTGTTAGATTGATATTGTACAATAAGTTTATACTTATCTTGAAAAGTTGTATTGCAATTTAATACTATTGCCTTTTTAGTTTATTCTTGATAGACTAATTACTGATACTTCTATTCTGGTTTATATATAGTAAATAAACATTCCATGAGTTTTCATTCTTTAATTGTACTAATAGGTTAAAAATGTTGCAAGAAACTTTTAAGAATACAGTTGAACCTCTCTAAATGCAACCTCTATAAATACAATACCTTCCTAAATGCACGTTTTGTCTTGGCTGTATGAAATCATTAGTACTAAATGCACGTTTTATATTTTGCAAATGCATATTTACTCAAAAGATTTTTATATCATACTAACATTCCTAAGTGCACATAGCCAATCAGAAGTCAGTATTTAAGTTTGTTATACAAGTCTGCAGATCAAATATTAAAAGCTACAATTTGATTGGCTCCCTCTAAATGCAAACCTTCCTAAATACACATTTTAGGCTAGTCTGTACACATTGCATTTATAGAGGTTTGACTGTATATTGTTAAAGAAAATTTTTAAATAACATCTATTAACTTGTAGTTAAAAAATACGAGATATAAAAGAGAATTTATTAAATTTTTCAATAAGATATCTTTGTATCCATCCTTGTTGTCATAGGTTTGGGCTTAATTGCTATAAAAAAATTATAGTAATATAGCAAATAATAAAATATATTATAAAATTTTATATTTAAAGTGTTATTGTCTGTGTTGTCTCCTAATATCTAACATCTAATTCTTAAAATACTTTAAAAATGAGTCATCAAATATTTATTAAATTATCTGCAGTAAAAACTCAAAAAAAGGTTATTTGCATATGTAAAGTGTTCAAAGGTGAAAAAGAACCCTGTTATCATTAAACAAGAGATACCTATATTGCAAAATATGGAATGTATGAAGAATTAGTAGATTCTGCTTAATTTGAAGATAATTTTCCTTTTTCTACAAATCTCAAGCAGAAGGCAGTAGTACATCTTAAACTAATATTCTTTATCTTACTTTAATTGATCTTAGTCTTCATGAAGAATTATTTCTTTAAAAAGAATCATTTTTTGTAACTAAATGACAGAAAAAAGCAAAAACTAAAATTAAAAAAAATCCAATATTGCTATAGTTCTTGAAACTTTAAATATTTCTGATGATGATAAAGAAGTTGCAAAAAAAGAACCTGAAAGTAATGATGAGGAAACCATAATAGATTATTTTGCTTCTGATATTAAAAACAAAAATAAAGAAAAATTTGAATATATTGATAATCTTGACAATAGCTTTGGTTAAATATTAATCTGGATCCTAAGATATCAACAAAGATATCAGTTACCTGATACAGAAACAGAATCATTAGTTAAATTTATTTATTATCTATTGATATATCTTGATCAGAATCAGTTTAAAAACTTTTCTAAATCACTCTATTTAGCCAAAAAGTTAATAGGTTTAGATCTATGCATAAATAATTATACAACTTGTTCAGCATGTAATAAGTTGTATGAATCTAGTAAAATAACAACAAAAAAGCTTGAACAAATCTTAATATATTAATATTATACTTTGTAAAATATCCTAATCACATAATGTCTAAAATAAGACAACCTTATAATAAACAATTGGCAAAAGAGGTATCTACAAAGGATGAAATATTGTTTTATCTTTTGCTTACTTATCCAACAATAAATATTAAAGATCAGCTTATATTATTATATAGCCAAAATGAATTTAAAAAATCATATAGAAAATAGATTAATAGAAATATAAATGATAATTATCTTGCTGATATTTATGATAATAATATATAGAAGAATTTTAAAAATCAAGATAAAGATTTTTTTATATTAGAATATACTGATATATATCTTGGCCTTATGATTAATCTGGACTGGTTTAGTCTCTTCAAAAATTCTATATATTCTACTAGTACAATATATGCAGTTATCTGTAATTTGTCCTGTAAAGTCAGATTCAAACCTCAAAATATAATTACTTTAGCATTATTAGCGGGACTCAAAGAAGTTAAATCAT